TAACCCTAACCCTATCCCTAACCCTAACCCTAACCCTAACCCTAACCCTAACCCTAACCCTAACCCTAACCCTAACCCTAACCCTAACCCTAACCCTAACCCTAACCCTAACCCTAACCCTAACCCTAACCCTAACCCTAACCCTAACCCTAACCCTAACCCTAACCCTAACCCTAACCCTAACCCTAACCCTAACCCTAACCCTAACCCTAACCCTAACCCTAACCCTAACCCTAACCCTAACCCTAACCCTAACCCTAACCCTAACCCTAACCCTAACCCTAACCCTAACCCTAACCCTAACCCTAACCCTAACCCTAACCCTAACCCTAACCCTAACCCTAACCCTAACCCTAACCCTAACCCTAACCCTAACCCTAACCCTAACCCTAACCCTAACCCTAACCCTAACCCTAACCCTAACCCTAACCCTAACCCTAACCCTAACCCTAACCCTAACCCTAACCCTAACCCTAACCCTAACCCTAACCCTAACCCTAACCCTAACCCTAACCCTAACCCTAACCCTAACCCTAACCCTAACCCTAACCCTAACCCTAACCCTAACCCTAACCCTAACCCTAACCCTAACCCTAACCCTAACCCTAACCCTAACCCTAACCCTAACCCTAACCCTAACCCTAACCCTAACCCTAACCCTAACCCTAACCCTAACCCTAACCCTAACCCTAACCCTAACCCTAACCCTAACCCTAACCCTAACCCTAACCCTAACCCTAACCCTAACCCTAACCCTAACCCTAACCCTAACCCTAACCCTAACCCTAACCCTAACCCTAACCCTAACCCTAACCCTAACCCTAACCCTAACCCTAACCCTAACCCTAACCCTAACCCGCCCACACACGCTCAACCATACAAATTGTCGCCATGGCAGACGGTCGCACCCTACGCTCCGGTAAAACATCCAGCAGTCATGCACATCACGAAAAACATGCTGAAACACACCGCACAATGGCAATAAGTCCATAATAAGAAGATGCGGCCTTTCACGGCAGTTGTGCCTCACCGTTTGCGTAAACTGCGAGACGGCCTCAACAAACGCACACACCGCCACTGCTTCCACTTCAGTCCCACGGACAACGGGATATGGCCGCAGCCCCGCAGCCGACAAACACAACGCACACGGAGCGAGCAATCACCCAAAGAGACACACGCGGAAACGGATCCTCATCCACCTATGACGCGGCGCCTCACTCCATGCGGTCACAAGGAGCGCGCTATTTCCACAATAGAACTTGTCCGTTTTTCATCACTTGAAGAAGCTTCTTTTTAATGATCGGCCCCATAAAATTAAAAAAGAAAATGGAAAATGGAAAATGTAGGAAAACTGCGAAAGCAACGGTTACAATAATTCTCCCACAATAGAGCAATTCTCCGTTTATATCTTTTATAAAAACGCAATTATGAAAGCCCATAAAAGTCCCTTAATGTTTTTTTGCGGAAAACAAGCTTCCCTCATCATTCCCCATACTATTTTTTTTTTTTTTTTTGTTATGGTATTGTCGATAGCGTTGGTCATCTTTGACATCTGTGCGATATACTGTCGCCTGGCGCTGGTGCACCTGCACTGTATGCACGCACAATTATCCAAAAATATATAACTCCCACATTATTTTTTTACCAGAAATCAAAACTACCCCTTTCATTCCCTAATTCGTTCTCCTATTTCGTTTTTCCTCACCTCCGGAGAGCTTTCTTTCTTCTGGCGTCAGCGGATGATACTGCTGCTCGGTACTGATGCACCTTTTCCTTCCAGAACGCCGCAATCCTTTTTTCATCGTCGCTCAAATTATCGGAATTGACAAGATCACATCTCTGCCAGCCAGTTAGCGGCTTGTTGTCTTTGTGCTGCACATAAATAATCTCCCACGACATTTCTCGGGACAATTCCTCCCAATCATTAAAATATGCCGCCAGATACTCCGTGAACTGCCTCACAGTGCTGGTTTTGGTGTGATGCTCACCCGCCGTAGTGATCTGCAGCCCAACCAGCGTCATTGGATTTGAGTCCACAAAGAAAAAGCCGTTTACCAACGGAAAGTTTTTGACCTTCGGTTGATACAGCACACTGTACTCTATGGCGATCCGATTAGAAGGGTTGTCTGGTACTTGTAAAAGCTCTTTCCTGGTGAAGCTTTTGTACGAATACTTTACCAGCGCACAGCTGTGTGACTCACCTCGTCCTGGTAGCTTCAGTTCCTCAATTTTAAGTCTTGTGGCACGTAGGAAATCCTCATTCAAAAATGCGGATACGGCATACTTTTCAAAAAAATGTGGTAAGACATAATCCCAAATACTCAACAAGAGAAAAAAAAAATCCGTCTGCTTCAATTCACTTTCCACCATGGACAATGTTTTACGTTCAAAATAGGGAGATATCAGTATATTCAAAGGCGATTCAATGTTGTCTTTTCGTACTCGGACAACCTTCACAAGCTTGTGAGACACGTGATTGCCGTTGCACGATTTGCCACTCCCAATACCAGCGTAATACTGTAGCATCGAAGGAGTGATTGCTTCCACGGCATCTTCACACGCGATAAAGCGAGCCTCACACTTTTTTTCATTAAAGATGAAGCGGAGAATCGGCCCCACTTTATCCATGCGATCCTTCACCTTTTTCCAGTAGTCCTCTTCTTCCTCCGCTTGTTCCTCCGCTTCTTCCTCTGTTTCTTCCTCCGCTTCTTCCTCCTCAAGCTGCCCATTGTGCTCCTTCCAAACGCACATTGCCCTCACATCGCTCTCGTCAGGGCAATTAATTAGGATTCGTTCCGCTCCCATTTGCTTCGCCCACGATTCGTAGTTGTTTGTGTTCGGTGAAGTCACCACAATCATGCCCCATTCCTCGCAAGGCAAACTAGCAGACGGTTCATGACCCCTCATTGCCACGTCGTAGATAATATACCCTTTCACCCCACGCCAAGAGAAACTGTCCAAAATACTCAGAATACTGGCCTCACTCGTGTACAGTGACACCGTTTTGGCGGTCTTGTCAAACAGAAATGTTCGATCCGCAATAAAGTACGCAACCATTTGGAGTTTCTCCGCATCGTATTGCAGCAGCTGGTAGAGGAGGTACGAACCGGCATTCATCGACTTCCCGATCCCGGGCGTCCCAATCAACACACGCGGATCAGGCGAAGGTTTGATCTTACCGCGAGTGCTGAACCACTTGGTTAGATCGCGCTTGACGATCTGCCACACTCGCTCCACCTCACAGTTCAAATAGCAGTCATGAATAAATTCACTCACCTCCCGTTCCCACGAGTACGGCCATTCCTTGTCCGAGGTGAGCACCATCAGCTTGAGACGCTCTGCACCGGATTGCTGCACACCGTCATCCTTTTCAAGAGTGTAGCCAACTTTCTTGTAAGTCCATGACTGCGGTGGTTTCCCCTCCCTCACCTCCATTTCCGTCCCCTCGCCGCCAGTAACTTCCACAACATGGCTCCACCTCGCATTGTACACAGACTCGTAGAGTCCCTCCAGCACGTACATCCTTCAGCCACCTTCGTTGAATTCCGCGCCTGAGAGAAGACTATTTATTATTCTATTCCGCGTGAGGATCGATTATATACCCGTTTTCGTATTTGGATTGAGTTAAAGCCAAACACTGACCACTAATCAAAAAAAGGAATAAGAGTAAGAGACAAAGGTCACAGGCATGACTGACAGCCTCAGCAAGTGAGTCATCCACACGGTGTGCGATGCACACCAAATGCACGAGGACCACCACAACGACGGTGAGTGGGTGCCATCCACCCAGCACAGTGTTGGTGAGAGCAAAAGATAACAACAACGTGGTGCGAACGGAGGGTTCGCCCACGCATCCCGCTCGATACAGTTCCGCACCCCTGTGGCACCGCCGACACCGCACACACTCCACAAGAATAGATGCGCGCGTGCATATCGTCCTTAACAAACACACACAGAAACAAGTGGGAAGAGAATTCGGTGCAGCAACGGCCACATGCAAGAACCCCAAATCATACACTCCACAACAGCGATGCATCATGGTAAGTTCCACACACAACAGAAAAAAGTGCAATTTGCATGCTTTATGGAAAATAACTGCGTGTCGCAAAAGAGTGCCGTGACGCTGCCTTTCATATTGCATTTGCCATTCACATATCACTGGGAAGCACGCAGCCACCACTCCTCCGTTTCGCTCCCCGTGCTGCTCTTGCCGCTCCACTGGAGTAGGTTGTCACCGCACATCCCCATGACCGTGCATTGCGGAATACAAAACTACCACACCGCATGGGTGCGGTGCCACCCCGCCAATAAATCCCAGGAAATTCCCTACTGCCTCGTGTGGCACGGACGGCAGTCTCATTATGCCTGCGAAAGGCTTTTTTCCAAACAAGAACGCGACCCCACCACACGCCCGTAAAAACGTTTGGTCCATCGCACGCAAAGGAGTGGAGCGGGAGAACAGCAGGAAAGACAACACCGGCAACCATGAGCAGCCCGCACACGCAAACACACCGCTGCCCCGCATATCACCAAAAATAAAAATACCAAAGAAACTTGTCACATCCCAACCACAAATCGCAAGTGCGGTTGCAGCTGACACTCCCACCTCCTGGGCGTGTGCGGCCCCTCGCTGCTCGGCGCTCTAAGTGGGATCACCAAAAGCACCAATTCGAGAACATTCGACCACCGCCACAGCAGTCACGCTCCCCATTTCACACAAAGGCGAAGGCTTGCAGTGGCGCAGCGGACGGCGGCATGCACAGTCGCAGGGTAATGGACTGCCGCGGGAAGCACGCAACGGCGATGCGCCCCTCCTTTGGGCCTCCCAACAAAAAACACGTGTCGCGCAGTCCCCGTGAGCAACACACATTGAACCGTATTCAGCTCCACTACTGTGGCCATCCGCACACACAGCATGAGTGCGACAACGCAGGCCAGGAAGCACGGAATAACAGCACGCATTCCCTCCCATAAGGGCTTTGCGGTGTCCGTGCTGCCTTCAACAATAATTCCACCCCAAATCACCCCTCTACATATCCGCAGCAAAAAGGCCCACACGGTGTACACTACATTAGAATTTCCTAAACAGCAAAAATCGAACCATCAGAGTGCTGCCCTCTTCTCAATGTTGGGTAGAAGCTCTCTGATCCTTGTCGCCGCCAGCCTGCGGTGTTATGGAGGAGCATTGCGTTCTCGGCATATCTCTCCATTTACTTCACTATCCCGACGCCGCAAATGAAGTGATGTCCCACAAGTGATTTCGACCGTTCTGAAGAACGCGGCGTGTCAGACGCGCTGAAACTGTGTGCGTGTGTGTTATTACAGGCGAGCGATACAATGCTCTTGCACATCCATGTATTCCGATCCTGCGCAACACTCCATTTGGTGGTGCTGAAAACGTTGGACACAAAACACGCACAAATCGCACAATGAACGGCCGTGGAAAAAAATAAAAAAATAAAAAATAACGTCAACACAGACACAGTAACCGAACAAATTAACAAAAAAAAACCAACCTCTGCGCGTCCTCCCGCAAGAAGGTGAAGACACACACGCTTGTCCCCTTTAGTTTCACTCCAACTCCTCAAAAGTTGGTGGGTCTATAGCAGGAGCAAACACGCCACTCCTGCCTCGCTCCCTGTCACGAGGCATGGACGCTGTGAGAGGCTGCCAAGATGAGCCACACGTGTGTGGAGGACCCCAATGCTCGGGGCAGGTCGACAACCACCCACACTCACCCCCATACACAAAAGGGCAAGGACATGGAGAAGAGAATCCCGCCGCACAGTGCATTCAAGAGGGCACACGCAGAAGCACCGCCATCCACATCGTACCGCAAAACAGCAATGCGAACAGCACACCCACGGCCGCAACAAGATGAACGAGGCGCATCCAATTCCACCACAGTCCTTTACTTACCCCTGCCCCGAAGGAATAGCGTTACGCCTCACAGCAGGTCTTGGTGGGTGGCGCCCCATACTCACAAATGAGGCACGGCGCACACCATCCGCTCCCCTCCGACTGCACTCATCAGGGCGCCCAGTCACCCTCGTACCATCGCAATGGGGAACACAAACAATCGTCGTCGCGGACTATCGATGCCTCTAGCAGAAAAGAAAAAGTGATGAGGGAGTGTCAACTGCACAGCTAGCAGTGGGACACCCAATGGGACACAAAGACACATAGTGGCATTCAACACAGCAAATAATAAAACAAGCCGCAGCAAATTGCCAAATACAGAAAACCAAGAAAAAAGGCGTAGGTTCAGCAGAAATAAATAAATAAATAGTAATAAAGAAAAAAAAAATCGCCTCAGTAGGCTTTCATTTCATGTATCCCTCAGCGAAGCAGAGATTGTGCATCTCCATATGTTTCTTACAGAAAGAAAAAAAAAGGATCGCAGTGTTCCACGTGTCCACACGAAATCCCTCACATTTCATGAGGCACTCGGCCTCTTCCTCCACCCCTCGTTTTGTACAGTCCGCGGGGCTGCACAACAATGAGGCCGGCACCGCGTGAGGTGCAACAAAAGCAAATAAAACAGGGGGAAACACGTCACTCATGAGAGTGTGCAGCTAGCGGCAAACGAAAAATAAATTAAAAAAGTAGTAAAAAGGCAGGAGTTCTGATCCCTCCAACAAAGCACCAGCAGCAAATTATATCCAGAGGTGAAAACAAAAGGGATTAAAAAAGTCCTCAACGGAGTGCATTGAGTCTTCCTGAGGAGCTGCACACTCTTTTCCACGGAGAGCCGCGGCTCCACTCCCACCGTTTCACACAGCTGAGAGCTGCAATGCCCAGAGCCCCAGAAAGAGAAGCAACAAGATCCGAGGCACACACACACACACGCACCGTGCCGTAGCCACTAGAGCCCTTCTCCAAAAAAGTGTTGTTCGTGAGCTGAGAGGCGTTTCCATCTTTGGAGCCACTGCCAGTTCCCGCTGGATCATCAGGCCCTTCAAGCATTTCCCCAGAAAGAGACTCTGGAAGAGCAAGGTTGCTGGCACCAACTTTTGCGGCTTCTTCCCTGGTCAATATGCGGTTGTACAAAAAGACACTCGTCACTGTCAAGTACTTGTTTTGGCTCCCGGTGTCGCTTGCACTGCTTCCATCCCCTCCAATGTAAAAGTGTGAATTCGCGCGTGGCCCCTTTCCCGATGATGATCTCGTTTCAGCATCCCACACACACTCACCATTGATCTATAAGAAGGCCTTGTTGCCGGTCCTGCAGCGTGAGCATCACTCGTTACTGTTTGTTCAACTCCTAAAAGCCGGTGTGTTTGTTTGCGTTGAACATCCCCAACTCCTTTCATGGCTGTGCGACAGCCAAAAGTGCACAGTGCGGCCTGCTCCCTTCGCGCCAATCAAAGGGATACTCTTGACGCCTGCGTGTGTCTCGCGAATAGCCACCGTCGCCACAAGAGCGAAGTCGTAATTCACAAAGCCACAATGATTATTATCCTTCCAACGGTTCACGGGGCAATGTTGCCCTGCGAATTGAAGCCCATTTGTGGCATTCTTTTCATTCGTCATCGTTGCAATCACACAACGGCACTCGTCGATACACGTGTTGGCAGTGCCTGCGTTGGGCAGATATTCAACCAGACCCACCGTACTTATGGGCGACGCGGAGAAGGAAGCGTCCACGTCCGCCCAATTGCGGAGGATGGAAGTGATCATCCGCAGCTCCTCCGTCAGGGAAGGCAGGAAACAGGCTGCTTTTCTCTTCATTGTGCCTCGCTCCCACAAGGTACAACGCACCATCCGAGTACAGCAGGGCGTTGGCAATCGGCTTATTCACAGCAGCGTCCATAGAAGCCGGTCCAACACAAAACACGCGGTTGCTGCCAGTCACCCAAACGTAGAGCACATGGGCCTCACTCTCCCACCACGGGGAGCTCAATTTCCGAGCCTACAGCATGACGCTCCTTCCTCCAACGGTCGCAGTGACAATGGCTCCCACACGCAAGCTCATGCCCCAACGACCCGATTGTGAATTGGCCCAAACGCCCGCAATTGCCCCGGGTAATTCCACCCACATTGTCCCCTTGTCACGTGACTCGTGCACTCTGCAGTACCGGCTCCCATAGCAATGAGTAATCACGAGAAGTTGTCCAAGCTCCCACTCGGCAATGAGGTCAATAGAGTCCGCAGGAAGAATGCCCTTTGGAAGCACTCAGCTGCTGCCGCCGTCCGTCGAACAGATGATCATGGAGAAATCGTCTTTTTCGTCAATGTACGCAATCACGGGGACACAAGCGTGTCATTCAAAACACCTGAGCCGCCAAAAACCATCAATCCATTCGCGCCGCGTTCGTGAGTCTCGGGAATGATCTGTGATCACAGCAATTTGGGTTCACACCAGTGGATTAGCTCGCTCCGTCTGCCGTCATTGGGCTGCGTGAATTCACCCACAACCAGTTGAACATCACGGTCTCTCAACGCCCAATTGAACCCACCATTCGTACCAAACTTTTGCTAGCTTCCCGCACGAAGAGACGCCCTATTGCCGCTTTCAATTG